AGACAAATACTATCAGGACAAGTTCAGGCTGTCATTTCCTGGCGTTTTATCCAGCCTCTAATACATGTGAGCAAGTTACAGAGAGCAGATGGCCATTGCTCAGTTGTTACACAGGTTAGATTCCCTCTGCATTCAGATGAATGTTGAACTGTAAAGCAAAGGTGCCTCTGATTTACAAGAATGGTGACTGTGGAGTGTAAAATCTGATTTATAAATAATTATTACCATCGAAAAGGGAAACTAACTGAAGCAGTATTTGTTAACTCTAAGCAGGAATTACTAAATCCTTGAGCTGTATGGCCATAGGCTTCCCAAAGCTTCTCATTCTGTTTTGTGCTGAGCATTTTGGCACTGACAGATGTAAAGAAAAAAAAAAAAAATAATAATAATAGTTGCACACTGCTCAACTCAGCATACAGTGTAAGATCTGTGGGACACAATCAAATTACTGTCCTTCATTACAGACATTGTTTCTACAAATGATACTTTGACTGTAATTTTAAAAAGAGGGAAAGGAAGATTTCTTGGTAAGTCTTTTAAGACTCAATCACTTTGGAATATATGTAATGCAAATGTAGCTTGCAAGTCTGTTACCTCATTGGCCTTTTTTCCTGTCCACTTTGTGTATCTGACATAATAGATGTGGTTTTTTTGGTTGGCCATCTGAATTTCTCCAGAAGACTTCTTTAGGTCATCACTTACTGAAAACAGACATCAGGATGCTGACATTGAAAACATATTAATTCTCCCAGGATTTGTGTATCTGTATGGACTGGTACTTGTATGCCACATTGCTTTGAAGTGCAATAGAAGGCTGGAAGGTCAGTAAGTACTTTTTCTAGTACAATAGCAAATATGCCTTTTCATGAAGAGCATGAGAGGCCTAACATCTGCAACATTTGCACTATGCTTTTAAATGATTTGTTAAACACACAGACAACTCTCCCTGGTTTTTACTTTGTAGGTGGTACCATAACTGGCTTTGTGAGTTTAGTCTGCGTTGTAAGTAGGTGCATATTTCTGTTCAAAGCAAGTTGTCAGTGTGGCTCACCTGTCTGGTTGGAATGTGTTCTTGAGCCACTGGGTATTTGTCTCGCCATCTGCAGCCTGTTTTCTTCTCAAAAACACGTTGAATGTAACAGTGAAAATAGGCATAGTTGTGAGAAAAGACCTGCTGCAACACTTGTGCACTGTTTGTTACTTGCAAATGTAATTATTTTGGTCTGTGATTCGATCTTTCTGTTCTTAGGAGATGTATATATTTTCTAGATGTTTTCTTTGTGTATATAAGGTATGTTCTTTAATGAAGAAAAGCAATGCAATAAGGAGGAGCTTTGCACAGTTTATTTTCAAACAAAATGCATTTGAAAAAAAAAATGACCTGCCTAAAGATGCAATTGTTCCAACTTCTCAGTAATTTGATTTGAAGATAACACTTGAATTTTGATATGAACAGAGATGAGTTGTAGTGGTTTAGAATAACTTGCCACCAAGCTTCGTAAGTTTCTTGCGGCATACCAAATCTCTTCATTATTAAGGAAGGTTTCTGTAATCAATTCAGGGATTGCATAAAAAATTCTGACAATGTTACTGTTCAGGTGCTCAAGGGTATCTGTAACATCATGCATGAGGTGTTCTCTCATTGTAGTGTCCCCATCACAGCAGACTTTTTTTTTTTCTTCTTGGGTTTAAGGAAAAAAAAATGCTGCAATACACCACAGGTTTGCCACTGTCACTGTACATACAGTGGATCAGAGAAACCAGAACATTGCCACCAGGTTTGGAGTTTTGTACAACCCGCACTTTATTGCAAAGCCGTTTTGCAACTGCCGTCAGCAATCAGTCATCAATGTGTTTCATTTGGAAAGGTACCTTCTAACAGCTCATTTTTGAATGTTTTAAAAACTAGACACATAGAGAACTGTTGATACATCCTCTGTACATCATGTTTAAATTGTTTTTATGTAGTTATCTGTTGGTTTTGTTTAGATACGTGTATCAAACTGGAACTTTTTTCAACTGTAAATATATGGTTTTATTAAATAAAGTCATGTAAAGTTACCTTAATCACCTGCTGTCACTGCAACTGAGAAATTGAAAGTTCAAGTATCTTGTTCCACTGTTTGGTCTCCAGAAATGTTCAGTGAGTGTGGATGAACGTCAGTGGATGCCATTCATGCACACATCCTTTTTGTCAGACAGCCTCTCTGCTGCTCATCATCCACTGTTATTTATTAAAACAGGTCTGTGGAACACCAGAAGGCCTCTCGACTTGTGCAGAAACCACTCTTGGTTCAGGAGAAAAGCTCACATCTGGTAACGTGGGTCGTGGTGGAAGGTCCTGACTTAAAATGTCTTGGTCCATGAAGCATAATAAGTCATTGGCAATTGTCTGCTTTCACAGTCCAGCCAGCCAGAGGTACATTTACTGGTATGTTGTGAAGAGTTACTGCTTGTGTAATCTATCCTCCTGAATAGAATTTGTGAGCTACTTGGAGATACATTGCACTTTGTAGGACACAGCTGTTCATGTATTCATGACATCACCATCCCGTGCCTTAGTCAGCAATGATGCTACTCCAGCAGCAGCAAGAGCTGCAGGGTGTAGATCTGTCACACTGCCTCTTTTTCCATGAGCCGTGTGAGAATTTGAAGACCTCATTGTTTTGAAAGTGGAAGCTGCTTCCTGTGTGCTAAAGCTGTCTGAGCTGTATGGTCATCCTGTGTAAACAGTATCTCCCTTCCTCCCCCCTTTTTTCAGTGTTCTGGAATTCTGACACACTGTCCTTGAACAGTGCATAGGGGCTGAAGCTGTGATGGGCTTATGCTACTCTGTACCTCGTCACACACCACGTAGAGCCCACTAAAAGACAAAAGTATTAAAACTCTAGTTTGAGATGAGAAGTTTAATGTATGTATTTGAAGTAGTAAACCTTTCATCTCGTACGCTAACAAAACAAATTTTGCAGCCAGTTCTGTTGACAGAATGAGTGAGGGATTGAGTGCTTTGGTAGTAAGTTGGCTGCATGCAGGTTGGATTTGCTGTGAATACCTAACGTTCCTCCTCAGCTCTCAGCACATCTATGAACGTTAACCCCTAGAATTAATTCTTCATCTCCTAGGACCTGTCTGGAAGGCTCAGGTGCTGGTTGTACAGATGAAGTTGTTACTGAATTGTAAGAAGAGGGAAGGGGGTTGCCAGAGTCAAGGTCTGAATTAGAGCTCTGAGTGCTCTGCTGAAACAACATTGCCATGGCCTCACAGGATGCAGTGCTGAGATGGTTTTCTAGAAGCGTAGGCTTTTGGCTGTGCTCTTCTTGTGCATTGTTTTAAATAGGAGGTACACATGGGTGGCTTCTTTCAAAAATGGGTGCAGTGCTCTCCTAATGCATCACACTGATACATCACAGAGAAGAGTCTTTTCCAGGAGCACACATGTAATATCTTCCCTAAAAAGAAGCGTGTTAAAAAATGAGCATTACAGACAACTCTGTGGTTTACATCTTTTCAATGCTTTATTTTCATCCTCAAGGTAGAAATGAATTGGCTTCTCTCATTTTTTTCTGAATTTCCCTCTGTTTGAGGATTAGACCGGCGTGGTGATGTTTCAGTGCTTCCAGCTGCCGTTGCAACAACTCCATGGCGTTCACCTTCTCCTCGAAGTCCCGCAGCAGCACCTCCTCTCCAAGCAGCCCGCGTTGCTGCTGCAGTTTCACGTTGCGTGCCCTCAGCCTGTCTCTGGCCTGCTTGGTCTTGCTCAGGGCGTCTCTCTTCTGCAGCAGGACGCTCATGATGTCTCTCAGCTCAGCCTTCCGGCCTCGGTTCTCAGCTTCTACAAACTGCAGTTTCTCCCTGACGCGGCCGAGGATCCGCTCGGCATCAGCTACCTTCTTTTTCAGCTTCAGGACCTCGTCGTTGAGGCCGTCCAGCTTTTCGTTGAGCTTCTGGTTCTCTTTCTTCATGTGATTGAGCTCCGCCAAGTGGCGGCCTTTCAGCGTTTCTCCGTGGGTTCTCAGGGCGCTCTCGAGGTTCCGGACCTCAAGCTTCACCTTGATGTTTTCCAGCCGGGCCTGGAGGGGCAGAAGCGCAACGCGGGCTGTTTCCCCGCCTCTCGTCTCCGGCGCGGCACGGCGCTGGGCGCGCGGGCAGGCAATCCTCCGCCCCGCGGGAAAGCGGCCGGCGCTGGGCGTGCCTCGCTCACCTCCCGCACGGCGCTCTCCTTGTCCTGCTCCCGGGCCTGGATGTCGCCCACCGCCCTGAGCGCCGCCTCCCTGCCGCCCCGCCGCCGCGCGAGGGTCTGCACGGCCACGGCCTTCTTCCGCGCCTGGAAGGCGGCCCAGGCGGCGCCGGCCCTGGCCTCGCTCTCCGCGCGGTCCCTCCGCCGGGCGTCCACCCGCCGCCGCCAGCTCGCGGCGTCCAGCTCCCGCCGGCGCCACAGCTCCCGCAGCTCCCGCAGCCGCTGGGCGAACAGCTGCTGCCCGCCCGCCTCGTCCGCCCGCCGCTCGCCCCGCTGCGGCCGCAGCGCCTCTCCCAGCAGGAGCTGCAGGCGGCTGTCCGCCTGGTGCAGGCGCTGCCGCTCGGCCTCCAGCGCCCGGTGCTCGGCCAGCAGCGCCGCGCGCTCCCTCTCCTCCGCCTCCTGGGCTTCGCCGCGGGCCGCGGGCTCCGGCTCCCCGCCGCCGTCGGCTTCCTCCGCGCCGCTCTCCTCCTCTCCGGCGGCCGGCGCGGTTCCTTCGGGCTCCGGAGGCTCCGCCGGGCCCTCGGGCTCCCCGCTCCCCGCGCTCAGCGCGTCGGGCTCGCTCTCGGGGACCTCGTTATCCCCGCTCCCCTCCCGCTCCTCCGGCCCGGGCTCCCCCGCCGCCTCCATGCCGCCGCCCGTCGGCTTCCCCCGTTGCCGGGCGACGGGACTCGGCTCTGCCGGCTCCGCCCCTCCCTCCGTCCCGAGGCCCCGCCCCCTCTCCCCGGCCGCCGCTCAGCGGCGGGGTCGCCCGGGGTCACCTCCCCGATTGGCCGCCGGAAAGGAAGCAAGATTCCGCTCGGCCAATCGCGGCCGCTCGTTCGTTTTAATCCCCCCCGCGCCCGGGCGTTTCGCCCCCATTGGCCGCGATCCGGAGGGGCTGCCCGAGCCCTCCTCACCCATTGGCCGTCCGGCGCGAGGCTCCTCCCGGCGGGAGCGCTGCTATTGGTCGCGCCTGAGCGGGGGCGGGGCCGCGCGTGCGTGCGGGGCGGTGGCGGGCGGGGTAAGATGGCGGAACTGGGGAAGAAGTACTGCGTGTACTGCCTGGCCGAGGTGAGCTCTCTGCGCTTCCGCTGCACCGAGTGCGCCGACATCGAGCTCTGCCCCGACTGCTTCTCGGCCGGCGCCGAGATCGGCCCGCACCGCCGATGGCACGGCTACCAGCTGGTGGACGGCGGCCGCTTCACGCTGTGGGGCGCCGAGGCGGAGGGCGGCTGGAGCAGCCGGGAGGAGCAGCTGCTGCTGGACGCCATCGAGCAGTTCGGCTTCGGCAATTGGGTAAGGGCCGTCCGCCGCGGGGCCGCGCCGGGCTGCGGGGCGGGGGCTGCGGGGCGGCTCCGTCACCTCCTGGGGCGGCGTCCCGGCGCGGCTCTGGGCTGGGGGAACCCAAAGCCCACCCGGTCCTCGCCCTGCTGTGCGGTCGGGCTGCCCGGGGCGGCCGCTGCACTCCATGCACCTGTTCCTGCTCACCGCCCTCTGAGTGAAGCATTTCTTCCTTGCACAGCTTCGGTATCCCTTCTTTTAACTTAAAGCCATTCCCCTTTCCTTACCGGTGTAGGCTGTAAATGTTAACTTTCCTTTCTCTTCGTTGCTCTAAAAACGAGGCTGTAAGTGGGCAGAACCCTGGCGGGTGGCGCAGTGAGCTCGGGAACCGTCGCAGTGCTGAGCTGGGTTGTTGAGGCAGCAAAGGGTGCTTAGGAGAGATCGTGTGCATGTTGAGCAGACAGGGCTGCTCTCCCCAGGGGCAGCTCAGAGGCAGTTTGCTGCACGGATGCTTTTTTTCTTTCTTTCTTTCTTTTTTTTTTTCATAGCTTCCTGTGTTCCCAATGCTTTTCTTGTCCTTTTTGCACTTGTAAATACTGACCTGGTCCTCATTGTGTGGCAGTGCTGCTGTTGGAAGAGTTCGGGTCTCGTGAGTTGGTTTCTGAGGGACAGAGAAGGAGGAGCGCGTGCTCCGCTGGAGGTGTAATGGGAACCGTCTTCTTGCCCCTCCTTCTTTTCCATTTAGGAAGACATGGCCGCTCACGTGGGAGCATCCCGAACGCCCCAGGAGGTGATGGAGCACTATGTGAGCATGTACATCCACGGCAACCTGGGGAAGGCCTGCATCCCCGACACCATTCCCAACAGGGTGACGGACCACACGTGTCCCAGCGGCGGCCCTCTCTCTCCCAGCCTGACCACGCCGCTGCCGCCCTTGGACATATCGGTGGCTGAGCAGCAGCAGCTGGGCTACATGCCGCTCCGGGACGACTACGAGATCGAATACGATCAGGATGCTGAGACTCTGATCAGCGGCCTGTCGGTGAACTACGACGACGATGATGTGGAGATAGAATTGAAAAGAGCTCACGTAGACATGTATGTAAGAAAACTCAAGGAGAGACAGCGGCGGAAGAACATCGCACGAGATTATAACTTGGTGCCGGCCTTCCTGGGGAAGGATAAGAAGGACAAGGAGAAAACTCCCAAACGAAAGATCACGAAAGAAGAGAAGGAGTTGAGGCTGAAGCTGAGGCCTCTGTACCAGTTCATGTCCTGTAAGGAGTTTGAAGACTTCTTTGAGAACATGCACAAGGAAAGAGTACTTCGAGCGAAGATCCGAGAACTGCAGCGGTATCGCAGAAATGGAATCACCAAAATGGAAGAGTCGGCGGAATACGAGGCAGCCAGACATAAACGGGAGAAGAGGAAGGAGAACAAAAACATAGCCAGCTCCAAGAGGGGGAAGGAGGACGGCAAAGAAGGGGAATTTGCTGCCATTGAAAACCTGCCTGGTTTTGAACTCTTATCAGACAGGGAAAAAGTGCTTTGCAGCTCTCTGAATTTGAGTCCTGCGCGATACGTGACTGTAAAAACCATCATCATTAAAGACCACCTTCAGAAAAGACAAGGGATTCCTTCCAAGAGCCGCCTTCCCAGTTACTTGGATAAGGTACTGAAGAAAAGGATTTTAAACTTTCTAACAGAGAGTGGCTGGATATCCAGAGATGCATCATGAAACCCAAAGCATCTGAGCCACCACGCCAGAGGCCTGACAGGCTCCCTTCTTTTTCCTGCCCTCTCCGGAGATACAGAAGTTATCTCATTCAAAACAGACAGACAAAACAAAAAAAGCAAAAACAAAAAAACCCACAGTGTTCGTGGTCCGTGCTTTGAGTAGACTTTTGCTTTGTGTCATGAAAAACACTGAATTGTGAAACTTCTCCATTCGATTTCATTGCTTGTTAGAGTACACTGTTTTTGTTACGTTACTCAAAGAGATTTCTGTCATGTGAACCAACTCAAGTCCAATAGTTCTGGGGTGGTCACTTCACTCCTTACTGTTGGATGAGTGAGTGTCAATGTCATCCATAATCCTTGCCTTTTTTTTCTTTTTTTTTTTCCTTCTTTTAAGGTGGGAGATGGTTTTCAGCAGATGAGTTCTTCTCCCTGATGTTGTTTTTGTCACAGTGCAGCCAAGCAGAGCTTGCAGAAATCCTGAGCTGTCAGGCACAGGGTGCAGGGATTGGCATGGCTGTTGCTGAGCTTTTGGAGCCCTGCCCTTAGTAGCACAGCCCAGGTGTCAGGACATGAGGTGAGAGCTTCTCTGAGGTGCAGCAGGGGTGAGCTGTGATGGGGACTGGTAGATGAGTTGCCTGCAGGTATTTGTGTTGTGTGAGAAGACTTCTTGGAGAGCTGCCTTCAGCTGCCTGACCTCAGTGTGTGCTTGGCTGGCAGTTGTATGCTCTGTGCTGGGCTCAGCACCGCTGTGAAGCGGCTGCTTCTGGCCAGCTGTGGCTTAGAACACACACAGTGCTGCCCTGCTGAAATCACCGCTTCCTGTTGCAGGGGGAACCTGCCCCTCCTCCTGTATCTGCTGTGCCCAGTGTGTGTAGCCCAAGCACCTGCAGCTGCCTCCTGAGCACAGCTGGGAGGGATGGGAACAGGGAGCTCCAATCTGAAGCTCATAGCGGCCACTGAGGTTGGTTTATGAAAAAATAAAAATTAATTTATATAGATGAAAATGCCCAGCTGCTGTGCTCCTGGAGTGCAGAGTGATGGATGCAGCCATCGCAGGTTTCTGGCTGCACGTACCTTGAAACCTGCTGGACTACGTGTGCTGAGGTTATTGCTGTGGTTGGCAGAATGGATCTCAGTTTGCCACAGTGGTCACTTTGGCATAACATCGTGTTGTCAGAGCTCTGTGAGGGCTGTGCTCCCTGCCACACAGGGCTGGAGTTACAGTGCAGCAGAGCACAGCAGAAACACTTGATCCACACCGTTGTTTTAGTAGTATATATCAGTTAAGGGAAAGGTGTTCAAGGAGGACTGGAAAAGGCTTTTTTTTTTAATCTTCATTTCATTCTTCAATTCCTGTGCTGGCATCTAACCACGTGAATTAAAAAAAAAAAGTTGATTCTGCGTGACAGACATCAGTGTTATTGCACCTGAGCCCTGTGCTGGGCGGTGGGTGGCAGCCAGCTGGGCAGCAGCTCCGCTGTGTGGATGTGCCAGGAGATGGAGCTGACTGAGTTGAGAACAGATGTGAACATGGGAGGTGTGCTCTGGTTCTGATGCCTTGGGCCGTAATGAGGAGCCCATGACATCTTAAAAACAGTATTAATTCTGCAGCTTGGCAGAAGTATGCTGACCAGAACTGGTTTTGAGCCAGTGTCTCCAGCATTATCAGAATAGTGTTACCGCTGAGTTTAGCATACAAAGGGTACAGTTATAAAGCCAGCATTTCTAAGGAGAAGGGAAAAAAAACCAACGCAACACACACAAAAAAACTCTAGTGCCTTTTTGTTTTGAGCTTGTGGTGTTACGTCCCTCCAAAAAAGGAAAGGGCTGTGTGCTCTCTGATGGAATGCTTTGGCTTACCTGGAAGAGGCTTCTCAGGCACTCGAGACAAAGCAGTGCAACTCACTGCAGTGTGCCAGTAGCTTTAAGAACCTCTTCCACCCTATATGCACGTATAGAGAGCACACGGGACAAGTTCAGAAGGTGTAAACCATTGATTATTTCCTCTGTCCTTCTCCTGTGGAAAGGAAGCTCAGCCTTTCCAGCCTTGGAGTTATGCAATTTGGTTCTTCCTCTGAGCGGTTCCGGCTGCTGCATCGCACCGGTGCTGTGCTGGAGCCTCAGCTCCGCCTGCAGCTGGGAGGTTAACACAGATGTGGGTTTTCTGATTTATTACTATCTTCCTCAGATCTAAATTTTATATTTCTACAGTGCTTTGGCACACCTAAGCCTAACTGAAGCAATAGCCTAAAACCCATCAGAACAGTAATTTAAAAATAAAAATATCTAGGCACCAATGACTCATTTAAATGTTGTAGAAATGAATTCTGCGTTTACTCTTTGTAGATCCTGAATTCCTCAGCCCTTCCAAAATGTTTCTTTGGTGCTAGACGTAACTTATTGAACATCAAGATGAATGTAAAATAAAGTATTTTTAATGTATGAAATATGGATATCGATATTTATTTTATACTTGCAAGCAAATTCAAGGTGGTAAATGTTTGCTGTAGCAAATGCTGATCCCTTGGAAAGGGCTTCCCTAGAAGCAGTGTCTCATTGTCAGCTATGCTTTTAATTTTAAAGGTGACTTGCACTAGAGGATGCTGCTGTCCTGTATTTTCAGATGGAACCGATTTAGTCTAAGCATTCCTTTGTTACGAGCTGCTGTTTTGTTTTCTCAAGCTGAGATGCAGTTGTCTTAATCTGGCAACTTAGTAGAGCCGTGCTGCTTCTCGTGTGGTGAAGAGCTGACAAAAAGCGTGGCAAAAGCTCTTCAACTTTGTCTCTTGTGTTTGTCAGGAAGTGCTTCCTGTACTGTACAGATAGCCTGGGCTTCATGTTGCTAATGAAGAGGTGCTTGGTTTTTTTTTTTTTTTTTAATGCTTAATGCTCTTGACTTATTTTCTAATGAAAAATAATGCTAATGGTAGTATCTGCCCTAACAGCATTGATGTAAGCCTATGGCAGAGCGCTAACCCACCAGCTGTTCACTCTGATCTGCTGCTGGTAGAGGCAGCAGTCAGCCTGTTGTAATGCTGTACACGTGCTTCCATCAGTCCCAGCCATGTGTTACAGTACACCTCACCAAGTAGCAGAGGAGCATTAGCCTTCATTCTGTGCATACAACCCGGATCAGGAGGGCTCGTTACGGTGTTCTGCTTACAGCCCCTCCTGCCCTACCTCCTGTTGCAGTCCCAGTGAGGGTTAAGAATGGCATTAGAAGGTTTGCATTGGAGCCTCTGCCTGTAAATGGCCTCGTGAATGAAAGCACTCTGCTGTTCTTCTCTTGCGTGGTGGCAGCACCAGGTTTCTTTGCAATTTTAACTGACTGCATCAGCCTTTTGGTTTACTGCTCTTTCTTGCAAGATGTTTTTGCATGTGCCCCAGGAGAGATGATGAATTAAATACTGTGAAGGAGGGTACCTGGTGAGCACCCTGGCTCATCAGCTTCTTCCTTAAAGAGAATGTTGCACTCGTTTGCGTAGTGTACTGGTGTAGCTGTGCCAGACATACAAACGTCTGTGCTGAAATCATGTAAAACTTAACTGATGTTGTGCACACTCAGCATTTTATTAGGTTTTTGCATTGTATATTGGTAAATAAACTTGTATTAAAGTTTCTTTCCATTATTGATTGCATGGTAACATAGCCCTTTTCCTCCCTGTACCAGCTAAAGTGCTCGCAGCAGTGACTAGAGATGCATTTTAGCTACATGATGATGTGTGGAGAAGAAGTGTTTGTAACAAACTAGCTAGGCCAGAGGTAGTAGTGGCAGCTTTATTAGATACTCTTATGCTTAAACTTCAGAGTCACACACCTTTTTATTTCTTCAGTGCATTCTGCTGTCATCTGTCAGCATACAGGTGCTTGGAGAGCTCAGTAAAGACTTTCCCATACACCACCTCCTCTGAAGGGGCAGACCAAGGAAAAGGAATTCATTCAGATGTTCAGAATTCACTTCTAAGTTTTAAGGAAATGAGCTTGAGTCCTGTGCTGAACACTCAACAGTAAGTTGTGTTTAGCAATACCTTAAATGAAGTAATGTACTGCAAAAAAGACACTCTCTAAGGGGCTGGAAAATTCATTACAAAAACCTCAGTCTCAACCGACACTTGACCTGAAGAAGCTCCTTAATCCACATTTTCCATCCTCACTGCTGGTTGTTTGGAAGTCCTTCCTGTTACATTACCAGGTCCTACACAACATATGTAACTCTGATGTTTCAGTCTGGTGCGTTAAATGTATGGACTTACTTTGAGGATCTGAGGGAAGACACTCTGTCAGATGTGTTGTTTGGCAGGTCCCATCCACTCCTATCAACATGACCAGCAGCAGGTGGAGTTACACATGAAAAGAGCTGTGTATGGGAAGGCGCTGTTGCAGCCTAAGATCCAAGGTGAGTAAACACAAGAAGTGAAGCCGAGTTCACATTTTTGTTTAAACCACTTAAAATGCAATTACTTGTGTAGTTCTAAATGTAGCAGATACAAAACTCTGAGATACTCACTTCTTCAGGTATTCTGACTTTCAGTGGGGTTTTAACTACAGTTTGCATAACAAACTGATTGCAGGGCTTGAAAGTTACAAGTCTATCAAAATCCTTTAAACTAATTTATACAATATTAAATTCAAAATCCAGAGATAGGATATATTGTATTGGTTCTTCAATGCCATACAAGTATTAGATGGTTTTCTTGAGTCAACGTGACTATTGATCTAAAAGGACCGAACAGTTACAAAAGATGTCTGCTCTCCCTTGTCCTTTATTTTCAGGTCAGAATTCACAAACATTTCTATTTCAGTTGTTGAGAGGGACTGTTTCTGAATAGGCATTCTACAAAAATGGGTGCTTACATCAGCCAAAAAGCCAGTGGATACTTGCAGAGGACTGGTTATCTGTACGACTTCAACCACTTTTGCAGTTTAGTGTTACAAAGCAAAAGGAACCATCTGAGCCACCGACTGGATCTTCAGTTTACACAGTGATAAACACAAGATTGCAGAGCTGTGAGGATTTTGTTCATTTCATTTTAATGTACCTTCAGTAGCCATGGTTGTAACAAATATTACTGACAGAAGAGAGCTGAAGGAACACTGTTGAAGGCCACTAAACAACAGAGTGTCCTTGTCTGCTTCATTTTCACTTGGAGACCTCAACTGGTTCACCGAAACCTCTTGGGGGACAGAGGGATAAGGAAAGCACGATGTAAGAGAAAAACCATCCAGCTGTTTAATAATTGAATGGCATTTTAAGTTATCTGATTCAGCAGCTAAGCGTCTTTCACAACGCCCACGAGGGCAGGCCGCAGCGTGCGCCCATGCAGCTTGTAGCCAATCTTGGATACTAATGCAATAGTGCCAGGCTCCTTCCCTTCCATGGGAGCGTGGAACAACGCTTCGTGTTCGTAGGGATCGAACTTGGCTCCGACAGGGTTCAGTCTGAGCAGCCCGTGTTTTTTGAACACTTTCTGGATCTGTACTTCTGTCATGACAAGACCTTCGTATAAGCTCTTCAGGTGAGGATTTTCATCCTTAATTTCTTCTTTTGGAACGCTTTCTGTTGCTTTCTCTAAAATGTCTGCAACTTCTAGCAAGTCCTTACAGAAGCTCTGAATACCTAAAAAAGAAAGGAAAGGGGAGGGAGGAAAGGAGGAAAGCAAGTATTAAAATCCACCACCAACAAAAAAATGGAAACCATGCTGGTGAGATGACATTGACAATTAACTCTAACAAAAGTCACCAAAACCTTCAGATGGCTTCACGTCATTTCCTGCTGTTAAGGAATGAATCTTTTGTCTCTCACATGGTTGGAGTCACCTGAAGACCAAAGTGTTATATTGCTCTATTTCTACTCTTTAATCTGAGATACAAAGAGTGTTTGCAGAAGAAAAAGCTCGTAGTCAGGCTGACAAGGAATCGTAAGAGGTGAACAGTGATTCCTCCTTGAATGAACAGAACACTCGTAACCCTCCCTCCCACTACAAACCACTCTTACAGAGTGAACCAGAGGCTGCACCTCATGCTGAGTAATTCCTGGACCAGCAGCAGTTTTGAAGCTGATCTCCAGCTCACCCTAGAAGAATCTGGACTCATCTCACTTAAGGTAGACTGTCTCAAGCAATCACAAAAGACCAAGACAACTCAGTAGAAGAATGCATTTCTTCACAGAGGTATGATGATGACAAAGTGCACTGAGTTGTGGTAGCCTTGCTCATTTCTTTTAGTCAGGGTTAGGCTTTATAACTCTATCCACTTATTTTCTCCTCTCCAGGAGAAGTGCAGTACCAGAAGACAATGAACTACAGAAGCATCTTGCAGGATCTGTAAGGATGAACTAGTTCACAGGAGAAGATCACTTTAACAACTGCACAACTCTATTTAGAGACTTGAGCTTTTTACAGAACTGTATCTGAAAGTGTCCAGTCAGTTCCCAAAATATTAGGAAATGAATCAAAACTTTAAATTCAGCCTAAAACTGTGGCTAGGGCTGAACTGTCCCAAACACCAGCTGTCAATTGCTCTGGATCAAACCAGACAGCAGTTTGTTCAGAAAGGGACTTTTTATTTTTTTTCTATTTTTTTTTAGCATAAGTTATTTCTATAGACAGCTATCACTGCATCTCTATGGACTTAGTTCCCTATGGACAAGTTTAAGAATGAATTTCCCTTAAGAGTATAAAAAGCAATCCCAAATGAACGATGAAATTTACAGTCACACATTAACTGTGATAATGTTTAAATGAGAAACTTTATTTGAATATTTATTTCTATCATACATCTCTGGGCTCAGAGATAATTCCAAGCCTTTCTGCACTACACAGCACAGCAATCAAACAATGCTTTTTGTAAATGAACTTTAGGATGAAGCATTCAAACATCCATGAAAATGGTACAGAACTATGAAACAAAGAGATGCTTTTTCTTACCACCACATTAACTGCAGATTCTGCATGTAGAAATTAAAATGTCTGCATTTAGAATAAAACTATACAGCTCTGTAGTGCAGCAAGAGAGGGTAGCTAATATTTCAAACCAAAGTGACAGTCAAGTACTGAAATGAAGCTCTTTTGCTACTGCGTTTACACACAAACAAGAAATTCTGTCTGAATGTCAGAAAGCTGTGTCAGATGTCAGTGAGCTGGCTGCTGGAGGCAGATGTGTTTCTAGCACTCCTTAAAGCCTACAGCTGTACGTTCCCTACCACTGTACTGCCTCTATTTGAAAGCTATGGCCTTCAACAGAAGAGGAATGTTATTCAAATCTGAAAGGTAAAACAAACAAATGAAAACCTCCACAAAACGAACCAGCTCAGGATCCATCCATCAGTAACAACAAAACCAGCAACACAGCAAGCATGCCAGTATTCCATCCTTTCCCTTGTTTTTTGAAGTCTGCCATGGGACCGAGCACATAAAAAGGCAAACTTGAGGCTGCAAACCTTACTAGAAACATCTCCTAATGCTGTACATTTAGAAAATCAGGTGCCAAATTCAAACAAAATTCAAAGTTGTTACTTAAATTGGTTAAGGTTTGCCTATCTTAAGGGAGACTATTGTAATTCTGTTATCAAGTGAGGAACCATTTTTAAACCTCTTTCCCCTAGGGATGTTTTTTAAACTAAGTAGCCAGAATAACTACAAGTACAACTTGTCAAAACTGTAGGCTAGTTAGCTCCATTTTCCAGGCTCTACTTTTCAAGTCAGTATTCCTAGGTCTTAAGATTAAAAACAGGGAGTTTTCACTGACCGTATAACTTTGCCTCTTCCACGAGTTTCTGGCTTCTTTGCCTCACATTTTCTGCATCTGCCAAGGCCCGCTTGTACTTATCCTGCAGAAAAACAAGTCACAGAAGAGATTTCAATCCAAGTGGTTGAAGCATTGAAAATAATTCTAAAGTGAGTACAGAACAGCATTTCTCTTTTACTGTTACATTATTTTTTTGGATAGCAGATTTAGGCAAATTGAAAACACGACAATTATCACTGCATCCTTGTTGCAAAGAAAATTGTTTGCTTCATTTAAGCACAGAAAGAAGTTAGAGAAAGGAAGTAAGGACTGGCCTCTAGACTCAATATTTGCTGTCAAGAATTTTTAACGCTACAGATACATCAATTTTTCCAAAGATTTCTGCTTTTTCTGGCAAACGTTTGCAGGAAGTCTTCATAAGTCATGTATTCTGACACCACAAACAAGATTCAACCCAAGCATTCAATCAGCCTCTTCCCTCTCCACCAAAGCATCCTCCAAGTTTTTCAGACCTTACAATCTACAAAGTCTGACTCCTCTGTTTATCAGGCTAAATTTAGGTATGTTCCCAGCAAAATATCCTGCAGCAAGAGATGCGTTGAGAACTAGATTCAACAAACGTTGGCACTTCAGTGCTGCACCACCTGACCCAGAACTCTGCTGGGCCTGCACGCACTGTAAGGTGACTTTCACATCAAGAAGTTGATTGAAGGAATGCCTTATGTAGCCAGGAACATATGCTTGTCAACTGAGGTGTTAAACAATCTCCCTGATTTGTCTTTCAGTTCTTTCCTAAGGGCAGCAGAAAGGAATCTCAATCCACATACAATTCATAGAGACTGCTACTACAGAAGGTTCTGGGCCACCTCTCAAAGTTCCAAATGCTCTAGAAAGACATTTTCTATAAAGGACTCATCCAGAAAAACAATGCCTTTGTTTAATCCACACCTCTCACCTCCTAAGGCACTGTTTACTCTCCGTTAAGTCATGCATGAGAGAGAATGCAAGATTCATTAGGCCAGATAGTGGGAATGCAACACAGACACATTAGTATCCTGTTTAAGGGCATCTCTAACAGAGATGGGTTCAAAATTCCATTGTGTAAGCATGTAATAAGTACAGTATTATATACAAGCTAAGAATCGTTAACCTCTACCTTTGGAAAAGTCAGTGGCTGTTTTCAGAATACCTACTCTTAGCTCACATACATACATGCAAGATGCATTCCAAGCCTTACATGAACTTCAAAGAATTATTTCTCCACTGAGCAAAAATCTAAGTGGGTCAGTGAAACTAAGGAACAAATTTCCAGGTTGTACAGGAACAGTTATGTCACAGCCTGAACTGATGACTGAGCACCTGGGTGGCTGGCCGAGAAAGCACAGGTGCAAGCAATTCACCTGTGCTTCCCACATGACAGGAAAGGCTCATTTAAGGGCCAGCTTCCAAAGGGAGAGCATCTTCTGGATGAAGGCTACTTCCTGAGAAGGAGTGTTCTATAGCCAGAGGCCCTATCACCAGTCAGGTGAGTCAACTTTTTCCTGTATATGCTTACTACGATTCCTACTGCTTCTTTGCCTGGCATCACGTAGAACTTCTCAGAAGCAATTTCTCTGCTTTCAAGGACCAACACAGGTCAAGCAAGATTCCATCCAGAAATCATAATGAAACCACACACAGTTTTTGTTTTAAAGTAGGATGGGATACATTTCAGGTCTTACAGTAAATCCACTCTCTTAAGTTTTAAAAAACTATCTAATTACAGCTTTTTATCCATTAACTAAACAACAGTTGGATTACTGTGTTCAGACTATGCACTGAGAAGCTATAATCAAGACTCTTAGGTACACAGCCCGGAAGGTATGCACACAGACTGAGCAGAGGCCACTTACAGTAACTTCCTTGAGCTGCTCTTCCAGTTTGGCCTTTTCCTCAGTTAACATTCTTTCAGCAGCACTGGGTTCAGCCTTCTGCTCATTGTGGCTCTGACCCTGGTCCTCTTCTAAGTTCTGGCTGGTGCTCTTCTGCTGTGTTGCTACACAAAGCAGTCGTGGAGAGGTCCTGTGGGGAAAAAACACACAGAGGGTATTAATCGACCACTTACCCTGTAAGACAGCAGTGCGTCCTGGACGTACTGGACACTTCATCTGACAAATCAACGTGTACAACAAATGCACATCAAAGTACAAATTAACGATTCTAGAACTGCGGAATCTGTCTGCAGAACCTTTCATCAAAGGAACCGAATTTAGGTTATCTGAACTGCTGCAAACAACAACTCGGCTGCAAGACACCGACCACCGGGCAGCAGCTCGTGAGTGCCCCTTCGGTCCAGCCTACGCCATAGGGCACAGGAGCTTTCACCGCAGCACGCGTTCTGCCTGATGCAACGGCCCGCAAGAGCTGCCCGAGGCTCGATAAGAGAGCGGCGGCCGCTCCGCACGTCGGGCCTTACACCGAGCCCGGGCCTCCAAGACGGTCCCTGAGGCGCTTCGAGGCCGAGCCGGCCCAACGCCCCAAGCGAGCCGGCTCACGGGGCCGCACGGCGGGCCCGGCCTTGTTCCACCAGAACGGGGGGCGAAGGGCTGGGCCTCGCCCTCAAAGGCCCCGAGCGCGGCCCCAAGCGACGCGCCCGGCCCGGCAGCACCGCGCTCACCTCAGCGCCAGGCTTAGCAGCGGGGACCGCGAGCGGAGCGTGCCCAACACGCACTGCGCTACCGCCGCCATAGCGCCTTCCTACCCAGCACCGCGTCTGCCCGCCCACCTGCGCACTTACCAATCAGAGAGACGGTGCTCTAGGAGTGACGTCGCCAACAGCCAATCCGAGAGGAGGATGAGAGAGAGTGGTGGGTGGGACGCACGGCCCTTCCGGTCCGCGGAGGGGAGCTCCGTGCGCGGAGTTCTACTCTGCCCCCCTGTGGCCGGAGGTGCCGCTTGAGGGCGCCCTGGGGGCCATTTTGTGCGCTGTGGGGCGCTGGGGCTGTCCTTGTCAGCGCTCGGGGCGCCTGTCTGTGGGACACGCAAATTCTACACGATGATACACGAGTTAATTTCATCAGTGCTATTAGTTAGCATGCGATTATCACTCTAAAAGAAAGAAAAAGGTCATGTATGTTATATTATGGTCCCAGAACTTTGCTAGATTTTTCACAGGTGTGAATGCCACAGCTGTAAGCCTGATTTCTGCTTGCTTCCAAAGTATGTCCTGAGGATGAAGAAGCTGCACGTACTGTAATGCAAATTCGGTGAATTACATTTCCAGCTGTGTTCAGGTGTATAATTATAGTGTTACTAAAAAGAAGCCTCAGAAGAGCCATCTAGCTTGCCATGTGGGAATCCTGCAGAAGTTAGGAAATTGCTCAGTTAACTCAGGCTTCTGACAGCCTCCATGCAGCAGGGTTTGCTTGTCTGTGGTGCTGCTTCGTGGCCTTTGCAGAAAGCACGTGGGCCATACTGGTCCTTTGGTCTCGTGACAACTGTTGTGTTCCAAGCGGCGCTGTTGTCTCTGGAAGTCACACAGATGTGCTTTTCTCCACTTGAGGGACAACTTGGCACGCTTCTGGCTCTTCCAGTAACACCCTTGGGCGACAACACCTCTGCGATGAGAATCAAGCAAATGATTTCGCATATACTTTGACACTGATACAGCACAGCAGCTTGCCTACACAGAACAAAGCAAAGGCTGAGGTTGCTTGCCATGTTCCAGCGTGGCTTTAGTCCTGTCAGTGGCTGCCTGCTGCTTTCTGGCAAGTAGATAAGCCACAGATCCCAAGCTGCATCCTCGTAATTCTTAAAGATGCAATTGAGGAAACCTGATGAAGATGCCAGTAATGCCGTGGAAGGATCTGAAAGAACAAGGAGAAAAGTGGGAATAGCCATAAAGGAGGTTATCCACAGAAAGCTGTGAAGAAATGAGATGGAAAAGGTAAGTAGGTCTTTAGATCTGAGGCTTCTAAAATTTTGCCTGAAAAAATAACTGGTTCCTTTTAGCACTGAACAACCAGCCTGCCTGACTCATTTCCCCTGTCTGTTGGGTTTTCCTGAAATCCCTAGCAAGCTGCTTCCTGTTTACCTTTTCTTCATTCTCTGCTGCCTACCACCTCTGGAAGCTGTGTTCAATTAGTGATTGATTAGAAAATTAATAGCAGAAAACTGAGAAAAGCCTATTGCTAGTATATCTTATTAATCGTTTAGTAAACTATGTTGTGTTCAAAACCTTTGAAACAAACTAATTCCTGTATTAAGGCCATCTGCCCAAAATGAGAATTCACAGGCTTTTTCCAAGCAAAAATTCAAAATGATCCTCAATGAAAGTGAATTTTGTTGTGATTTCCTCAACTTGAAGAGCTGCCAAGAAAAGCCCACAGGTAGTGCAGATACTGATGAGTGCATACACAGATAAGCATGTAGGTTACTCAGAGCTTATTTGCATTGTGGCTGATGTTGGCCATAAGTACTGTCCCACTTTGGAAAGCATTTTGAAGAAACTACTTGTCCAAGCTTTGTTCTGACTTCCACCTTCGCAGTCTGTTCTGTTTTAATTGTAGTGCCACCTAGTGGCTTGCTTTGTGTTTATTATTACTTTTGTTAATACTCAGCTGAGGAGCATTCAGCACCTGCTGCTTGGCCTGGCTGGCAGCCACGGATGTGCAATCACAAACATGTTCCTGAGTAGTCCTCTCCATATCAAGCAGACTTTTGTTTTTCACATAAAGTCGGGGTTTGAATATTGTTTGTTGATAGGCAATGCTTATTCTGAATTCTAAACGTTAAGTTAAGCAGTTGCTACCTTTCAACTTGTGGTTAGAAGAGGTTCTAATCTCTAATTAGTACAGTCCAGTGATTGACTTGGGTGGTGTGGACTTAATTCCCAATTCATCTTGTGATTCACTTTGTGGCCTCATGCAGTTATTCAGCATCATGCAGTTATTCAACCCTGTTTCCACACAACTACAAATTAAGGGTAGTAATCTTTCAAAACAAGAAAGTTGTTCAGAGTGCACAAGGGAATTTCTGTGATATTTTGAGAATGTCAAAGGAATGATAAGGGTCTTTTATCATTATTATTAGCATTAAATATATAGTAAAAAAGCTTGTAATCTTTTGAGGTGAAAAATGGTATAAATGCAAGATTTGTGTTTGAAACGTTAAATGAAAAATTAAGGCATTTCTGTGTCTGTGAAGAAATACTGGTCCTTTCTCTGAATGCCAAGATATAATCTGTTGATATTCAACCAGCAGGCAGGATGCCATTACGTTTCTGTTTCAAATATGAGCTGTATTATTAACGTTTTCGGGCTGAAAACGAAAGGGTATCGTATCTTCCCTGATCAGATATGTTATGTGTCAGCCTGATCAGAACTGAACATTGAACTGTGGTGGGAGGAAGTGGAATGAGAAAAGAAAAGAAAAAAATCTTTGTAAATATTCTAGCAGTGACCTTTCAAGTCAGTTATCAGGAAATAACAAAATCAAATTAAAATATGTTAATTTAGCTGTAAGACTGTTACTGAACTTTTCAGTGGTGAAATCAAACTTGTTTTTCAAACATGAGCCCTTTAGGAAAGATTTCACAAAAGAGATCTTACCTGTAGTGTAATGTTGGGGGACATGTTCTTTCATACAGAATGTTACTTTAAAAATACATATATGTATATACACACATATATACATACATACATATATGTATGTATATATGTATATATAGGGATCTCTATATATAGGAATTATTGAGTCTGAGGATCAGTAACATCCTGGAAATGTCTCAGACAGAAGAAGACTATAAAGATTAGGCTGTTACTTGCATCCAGAGACTTTAAATATCATGTAGTGAGATGCAGATGGGTGTATATGGGAGCATAGTCTTCCTTCCTTTTAATGAGAGCCTTAGTAAGATAGTTAATGTGTCCCAAATTCATAATTTTTAATGCAAACATTTTAAAGAAATCCCTCCCAAGAGAGAACGTGTAACACCTACTCTCTGCCTAGTTTCTCCGTAGGCTGAAAGTACAGAATCATGCATCTTATTCTGGTTATAGAATATCCTTTGAGTTCCCATAGCTTTTTGCTAACTAATTTGAAAGGTACATTTTGTAGCTATCTTGTTGCCTAGAGAAGGTTGTTGCTGTGCTGAAAATCTAATAGTGACAGCCACAGGGCTCTGAAGAGAGCTAATTAGAGCAATTTAGAATAACAGAAGTTCTGTTCCTAGGAGGACACTGAAGAGATCCTACCCCAAAGCAGCATGCAGCAATTTCAGAGCAAATTTATTGTGATATTCCTGCATAAGTCATTTGGTATCCCAAGGATTTGCAAGTTTGGCAATCTATTATGGTTTGTTCTTTCAGCTCTCGTTATCGGGGCATAGGTATATGCCTTGTAACACTCCTGGCAATAAAAAGTGCTTCACCTGTCATCTTTCCTAAGAAAGCAGCTAGCTGGTTCTAAGGCACAAAAGCAATCTTTCGTCATGCTGATGTGGCTTTACACTTTGAGACAAAATTATTGAGCTCTGGGAGAAGGGTTTTCAATCAGTTGTTGTTCGCATAAGCTCTTAGTGTGATGCCATTGATTTTCTTAATATTTTTCTTAAAAATAAATTGTTGCCTTCCAGTTTAATGGGCCAAGTTAACAGATCAGCTGTGTTAGCATGGTCTCTCCTCTCTCTTCTGTTACATTCAGGTTTTGCCAAGAGGACAGAAGTTGTTGGTGTCCATTTCTGCACAAAGTTTAACGGTAAAAATACTGTTGCTGAAACAGTATTTGGACATTCGGGCCCACATTTTTCTTTTTTTCTTTCTTAATTTTTCTTTGAGGTTTGATGAATTAGATCCTGTGGGCCCATTTCTGCTGTGCTGCGTACAAGTGATTTGTATTAGTCAAAGGGAGTGTGGTGTGGGGAAGGGCTGCCAAGCCAGGTGCTAGGCACACAGGCTGCCAGCAGTGCTGTAAGAGCCTGAGGCCTGGCTGGTTATTGCTTGAGTTGGAATTGTGCAAATGTTTCTCCCTTGCTTTTTACATATTTTTTCATATAACTGACAAGAGGTTAAGCTGTATGGTGCATGCCAGTGAAGGGAGCTCTGTTTAGACATGGTGTTTTAGTGCTGTAATTCAGTCTCATTGGCGGGCTGTTCTTCCTGCGTCAAAAGGGGAATGCTGATGCTGTGCAAGTCTGTTGGAGAGCTGAGAAGAATCACAGAATGGCCAGGGTTGGAAGGGACCTCAAGGATCATGAATCTCCAACCCCCTGCCACAGGCAGGGGCACCAACCTCCTCATTTAATGCTAGACCAGGCTGCCCAGGGCCCCATCCAATCTGGCCTTGAACACCTCCAGGGACGGGGCATCCACAACCTCTCTGGGCAGCCTGTTCCAGCACCTCACCACTCTCTCTGTAAAGAATTTCCCTCTGATGTCCAACCTAAATCTCCCCTCCCTCAACTTAAAACCATTTCCACTTGTCCTGCAGTTGTCAACCCTTTCAAAGAGTTGATTCCCCTCCTGTTTGTAGGCTCCGTTTAGGTATTGAAAGGCTGCAATGAGGTCACCCCTCAGCCTTCCTTTCTGCAGGCTGAACAAGCCCTGCTCCCTCAGCCTGTCTTTTCTCTAGCTCCTTTAGAAAGCAAGCAAGAATTTTTGATTGTATTTCTATGAGTAATTAATGAGTGCATGAATGCTCCTGTTGGACAATTATTATTTTCCATTCAGTCCTAACCTAGCAGGGTAGGTCTGGCCAGACAGGAGAGAAAGAGTCCAGCTAAAAATAGCTGGAGGGGGAAAGA